AGCATATACTTGACGGTTATCTACAAATAATCATCAAGTACTTACATAATTGTTTCTAGAAGTGTATACTTGATGATTATCTACAAATAACTATCAAGTATTATAAAAAATACTTGATGGTTATTTATAAATAACCGTCAAGTTATTATGGCAAAAATTAGGCCTCATTTTTTTGGTTCTTGCCATAATTAGTTGATGGTTATTTACAAATAACCATTAAGTATTTCAAAATACTTGAAAATTATTTGTAGATAGCCATCAAGTTTACAAATACTTGATGGTTATATCTAAAGAACCGTCAAGTGTTCATGATATTTTTTTTTAAAGGATGAGCTACTTTCCAAGTAGCCGTCCTATATAAAGATACACAAAATAGAAAATAAAACTAGTCAACCATTATCCAAAAATAATACAATGAATGTTTCTATCAAGATTACTATTAAAGGATAATAAATTAAATTCCTATACCTATAGCCCCTTAAACCCTAATTTGCAAACTAATTAAATTTTCAAAACTAATTAAGTGGCCCGCCTTAGGCATAAAAATTAGCCAAGAAAAATGTAACATGAAAATGTATATACCTACTTAACAAACTATTAGGCTGGCCTAACTGCTGCTGCTACCTACATATTGAACATGGCTTAGGCCACCTCTTTAAGGATTTTCTCTACATCTACAATTATATAATGAATGCAGTAGATGTCCTTGAAGTACTGTGAGCAAATAGTCACAACAAGTTCAAGTTAATAGCTAGCTATTTAAAGTTGGTTAAAATTTATAATTTAAATGTAATTAAATTTAATATGCCTTGTCTGATAATGTGGTAGGTGCATGGGTGATTATGTCTTTCATGAATTACATTAGGCAATAACCACAGTCATTGCTTGATTTGGCTGAAGTGGACACTACAAAAAAACCACATATATATCAATGAAATTGTATAACATGTCATGATTTCTTGATTAAAAATTTAGTCAATTAAATGAATACATTAACAGTGACTCATTTCTCAAAAAAGTCAAATGTCCTCATTTGGGAGGACACATTCTTGTTGATCACAGTGTGATACAACACCATAGCACTAAGAAGAAAGTATCGAATGAATGCAAGAAATATATATATATATATATATATGGAAATTAGAAATAACAAGTAAAAAATATAATTCAACTTACTGGTTAAAAAGTACGACCATATCTTCTCCATTGCTTGGTTCTCCATTAAATAGATCAAGATAAGAACAATATGTTGATATATGATCTAGCAACAACAATAATAACACCACTAAGAAGCCAAATTTTAATGAAAATCATATAATCCACATTAAACACTATATATATCAATTTAAAAAATCAAAATTATAATTACATAAGCCAATTTTCAATCAATTCAAACACTAAGAATGTAAAAATTGATAATTCAAGCAATAAAAAATCAAAAGTAATCTTTCAATTACAGAATAAGCACCATCAAGTAACCAAAATTCTAAATTTCAAACACCCATTAACAAGAAAACCAATGGAGAGACAAAATAATCAACATTCGAATAACTCATTACATATATAACTCAAAATTAACAACCTACGAATTCAAAATGAGGATTAATAATTGAAAAAGCAAGAACCAACCTTAAAAGGAAGAGAATATATGCAAAAATGGAGAAAGGGCAAGCCACAAGCAAAGAATCCAAGAGCACAAGCACGAGCACCTACGGGCATGATTGGCATTGAAAATCAAAAACCCACAAGGAATCAAATGTGAAGTCATGCATTTTGGCTGCTAGAGTGACGCAAAATGGGTTTCAAGTGGTTTGGATGTGTTTTGAATTATTTTAAAGTTGCAAAAATGTGAAGAGGGAAAGTGTTTTGGAGTTATAATTTAAAATGCTAATATTTGATAGTTATTTATATTTGATGCTTGTTTTGAAACAACTATCAAGTATGTTCTAGACATACTTGACTTTTTTTCAAAACAAATGTCAAGTAATTAATTTTATTTCAATTTGTTTTGAAAAATAATGAATTTGATGCTTGTTTGAAGATAACTGTCCAACATATTGAACATATTTTTGATGGTTACCTTCAAACAAGCATCAACTATATGTCTTTCCAACAATAATTAAGGTAAAATATATATTATATGGTTTTTTCAATATAATCATCAAGTATAGTTTTAAATACTTGATGGTTGTTTTGAAACAACTGTCAAGTATTCATTGACTTTTTTATTTTTTGCTTTATCATATGACCGTCAAATATGGGGTGTCTAATTTAACAAATTCTTATAGTGCAACATTATATTTTTCCATTGTATCTAATCTTATCAACTAATTGCAACATCTTACATTGAAAAGTTCTCTTGAAGAATTTGATGAAAGAATTTAAACTAAAATTACAAAATCAAATAAATACCTTATGCAATTTCATGGTACTTCCTACTTTAGTTATCTTATACATGTGAGGGATAATATAATATCCACATTCTATTTATCCTAACTACTCTGGACTGAAAATACACAGAAATTTAAAATTAAATAAACTAGCTTTTGGGTAAATCTCATACAAGTGAATGATGATTAAAGATAGAAGTAAGTGTTCATACTCACTTTTGGGTAAATCCAATAAATCGCTATCTCCTCCTTACGTAATCTAGTCGACATATAATATGTTTAAAGCACTCTATCATGAGTTGTAAATGAAAAAAAACATTAAAAATATACATCGTCAACATTCACTTAACAGGTTTTACTAGGATGAATTTACTTGTTGAAAATCTATTTAATCTTATCACTTAGTTTATTGGCCAGAGAACAAAACCAGTATACTATAGCTTCAGGAAGGCAAGGAATGCAAAGTGACCAATGATACCTGCAAAATATAAAATTGTTTTATATTTATTAAATAACATGAAACAACTTTAGAAATATATAAACATGAATAAAAAATACTTGTCTTTCAATAATCAGCGTTAGATAACATGACAACCTTATATCTACCATATAATTCATCGCATTATGTCTTCCTCCAATGTATTGCATTCCTTTTCCCCTACAAAAGCTTCCTAGCACAGAAATCCAAATTTTTCTTTTTTTTCTATTTCATAGCATGCATTGTAAAGGTTCTCATCATTGAAATGTGTTCAAATTAAAACATTAGTGCCATGAAAGAAATCTATGAAAAATGGAGAAAAGTAAATACAAGATTCCTAATTGGGCAAATGAAATGTCCAGTTCCTTTAAAATTAGAAACTCCTTGAGGTGTTTTTTGTCAATTGGAAAGACATATTGCATTTTTGCACCCACGATACTCATTGGCATTTTAATATTAATGGCCTCTATCATATTCTTGTAAACTTGTTACATCCACATTTGACACAAAACTTTTGGGCCATAGAATGAAAGCTCTTTTTGTTTGGGCTACTGTTGCAACTTTAGAGGTAAGAAATGGCACCGATGCGTTATCGTCACCTATCCAAACATTTGTAACTATCACCCTAACTTGATCATCTCAATTTTTTTAATGATGGATTGAAGACACAAATGTATTGTATACTTGACCTTCAGCAAAAACATGTTTTTTTTTTTGAAACCTTTGAATAAAGATAGCAATGAGTTCCTTTGTCATCTGGTACAGGAGGATCAGGGTCTACTAGTGCCAATGCCAGTGCCTCTAGTAAAATACAATTATCTTTGGTGCTTTGTATCATAGGGGAAGTCTGGACGAAATAAATAAAAAAATTAAATGTTAATAAAATTAAACACTAATCTACATTAAATCAAATGCACACAAACCTAGGATGTATGTTCAACTACTATAATTGTCATGCCCAAGACTATAGATTTCATCTTCTTATAAAGCTGGGTCATTATTTCTTCTTGGAGCAATGCATAAAATTCTCATTCAACCTCTTATCGAACCTCTTTTCATATACCAAGTTGAGTAGCTTCCCTAATCTAGAACTATTCCTAACCTAGTTATTTATATCTATTTCTTTAGATTTAGGTTCTCTCTTAATCTCCCAGTCCACCGAGATTACCTATAGATTTGATTAAATGGTGGCTAATCATGAAATCAACATGAAGAGCAAAAGAAATAAATATAATTGGAAAAAATATATGAATATAAAAGAAAAGAGTCAAAACAAAATAAATTAAAAACTAACTCCCTAATTTAGCTACATCCCTACCTAAACTAGGTAATTTAGAAACATATAATAAAATTAAATAATATCGTTCTAAAATTCTCAATCATTACTACCACAGAATAAGCTAAATATAACACCACATATTTGACATTTATAAGCTAAAAATGACAAATAAAAAAGGATCTAAATCCTTGATGTGTTTTTTTTAAAAAAATTGTCAAATATTTAAACATATAATTGACGATTCTATAATAGTAACTGTCAAATATATCTTTTATCTAAAATTATGTTATATATAAATATATTTGACACTTGTTTGAAAACAACTGTTAAGTATATAAATTATATACTTGACGGTTATATCTTAATAAGTGTCAAATATATAATTTTAAAAAAGAAAATGTTTACTTGATGCTTTCTTTGAAACAACCGTCAAGTATGTTTGGCTAATACTTGACAATTGTTTTAAAGAAAGCATCAAGTAAGTGATACTCGACGATTATTTCATAATAACCGTTAAGTATTTTCTTTTAAATTTATGCTCTAAAACCTTTCCTTTTCACATTTCTGTAACGTGAACGTTTTTAGAAACACATCTAGACTCCCTGAAATCCATTTTTCATCATAAGAATTGCCTGAAAACACAAATTCACACTCAATTCATAGTGGGTTTTGCTCATGATATCCTTTTTCTCAACTTCATGCATGGTTCATTCATCCAAGACTACATTTTGTGTATTTTGGGTTCGTTCTCAATACCTTGCTCTTGAGTTTCTCTTTTGTCTTCTTAATTCTTTTTTAGGTTTAATGTTTAGTGTAAATCCCATCTGAAATTCCCCTTCTTGCTCTTCAACAGTGAGAATCGTGGTCTTCTCTGATCTCCTCCTCCTCTACTACTTCATCCTCATGTAGTGGTGTACTTCTCTTAAGTAAGTTGACCTATCCTTATTCTACCCTTTAATTTCTTCCTTGTGGTATTATTGTCTATTGATTGTAATTAAGAAGTTAATTGGAATTACTGATTGGTATATGAAATTTTTATTCATTCTTACAAATTGAATATATGTATATATCTATATAGCTTGGGGTATTAGGTTCTTTGTTAATAATGAAGTTAAATTTAGGATTATATAAAAATTATTTTACTATTAGGAATTATGATTTTGTTGAAAATTTGCTTCCCTTATTGTGGTAGTATTGATAATTTTGTTGTTGGATAGCTTAACTAGGTCTAGTTGAGTTATATCATGGATTTTTAGAATGAAATTTTTGTATCAATTACTGGGTAATTTGATTGAGTATAATTCAATTATATGAGAACTTGCATGTTGAAATTTTTTTTAATAAAGAGAAGGCATAAAGCCAAAGAAACTCTCTTTTTTAAGCCATTATGCTACTAAATTTTTTACGATTGGATAAAATTTTTGTATCAATTATTGTTGGATAACTTGATTGAGTATAATTTAAGTTATAAGAAAACTTGTAGGATGAAATTTTTTTAATAAAGAGAGGGAAAAAAACTCAATAAACTCTCTTTTTTAAATCGTTATGCTGCTAAAATTATTTCAATGACTAGTATTAAAATATAGATATTAGTTTTAAACAAGATTAAAGAGGAAATGTGCAAACATGTGGTTAGTAACTTATTGATTGATTGATCCTTATATCTAACTCTCCACTATCTAGGAGTAGTCAAAGTCACTAATTGTATTTTCTTTTTAATTTTCTAGGAATTATGGATGAGGAATGAATGTCTGATAATAGTCCATCCAAGGAATATTGGAATAGGGTAGCAAACTTTGTTAAGTTTGCAGTTAAGCATGCGGAGGACCCTGTTAGAATTGTTTGCCTATGTTTAAAGTATAACCTTATGAAGCAGGTTAGTCCAAATACTTGTGAAGAATACTTAGTGATTAATGGAATAGATCAAAATTATAAGTGTTAGACAATGCATGGTGAGACAAGGGATGATATTAGTTATAGCCAGCAATATAGTGAAAACTATGCATCATCTTCGATAGTTTTGACATATGTGCACTTAAGGAAGATTGTCTCAAACAAATGGCCAAAGTGATTGAAGAGAACCTCAAGAATTGTCTAAAAATGTTTGAAAAGTTAAAAAGTAATAACAGACGCTAGTATATGCTAGTTGTAGTGTATCAATGTTGTCAACAATGTTAAAATTGTACAACATGAAAGCAAAACATAGATGGAGTGATGTGAGCTTTACTAAGTTGCTTGGGTATTTGAAAGTAGAATTACTTCTTAAGGAAAATTAGCTTCCTTACTGAACAAAACAAGTGCTACAATCAATTAGCATGAGTTATGAAAAGATACATGCATGCCTTAATAATTGCCTTTTATTTTAGAATGACTATGCATCATTAATTGAGTATCTGAAGTGTAATGCCTCATGCTATAAGTAGAACAAATTGAGTATGATGTAGGCACTATGGTATTTTCCAATGTGCCTAGATTTATATGCATTTATTGTAACATCCCAAGTTTTAATTCTCTAATTAATTAAATTTAATTAGGGTAATTAAGTAAATTGGAGTGGTGTGTGGCCGGAGAGGTCTAATAATCTTATTTGATGCTATTTCAGCCTTACTGTGGGTCTAGTATCAAGGCGAGCCACTCAAGCATCGAAAGGAGAAGAAAAAGAAGAGTTAAAGTTGCTGTGTCATACACCGTGGCACGTAGATCATCCGCCACGGTGCACAGCCATCTCTGAGTGAGGGAAGACCTCTCTGTACCATGTGTCGTGGCACGTTGTGCATCCACCGCGGCACATAGCATTTTCTGTACTTTATTATACGTTAATTAAGACAGAAAAAGAAAGAAGAGAAAAGAGATAAAGAATAGGCGCATCTAAGCTCTGCTAAGGTTTGCTTAGGGATTACTTTGAGAGTATTTTGAAGGCTACAAATATCCAAGGTAAGTATCATTCCCATTAATCTTTCCTTTTCTTCCACATTTATGAGTTTGTGGTTAAGGTATGATAGTTGAAGTAGAATTTCGGTCCATATAGGTTATGGGTCTAAATTTGTTGACTCAAATAGAGTTAATAGGGGTAGATTAGAGTATTAAACCTAGATATGATGAGTATTGGTGTCTTGGGTTGTTGGGCACCATAAATACCCAAAAATCCCATTTATTATGGTGGTTGAAAGTTTGTGATGCCATTAATGGAAATTTAATGGCTCATTAATGCTATTGGGAGCTAAAGGTAACTATTAAACCTAATGGTTAGGCTCCATCTCATGTAAAGTGAAGGTTAGGCAAATTAGAAGTAAAGATTGAGGGTTTAATTAATTGAGTTTGGGTTATTGATGGAATTCAAATTGATTGCTTGTAGTTTTGGCTCTTGGTCACCTTTTTGGAGTGAAAATTCAAGCTTGGAGGCTAGTTAATTGAGGAGTAAACCTTTGACCTCAAAGGTTTGAGGTAACCAGGGGAAAACTCTACTTTGGGTAGTTGTATGTTAATTGATTGTTTGAATGCTAATGGTGGATATTACATGTATGAGATTGATTTTTATGTAATATAATGCATTAGTTTTCATTGAGTGTATGAACATTTGATTGAGCACAATGCTATTTTGGCTTGAAATACAAAATGCAAAGTCAAAATATTTTATTATGAAAATGCTTATGTTTTGAAAATGAAGGCAATGATGAGTAGAGGTAATTGTGTTAGTCATGAAATGAATTTTTGAGAAATAGATGAGAATATACACTTAGGTAGCACAAGATCGTGAGCCCAACATGATTGTTGTATTAGTGAGTTTATGAAAGTGAAAATCGAGAACAAGTGAGTAGTGATTATGGCATGATCAGTGGCGGGAGTTCGCCTAGAGATTTGGGAGTAGAGAAAATTCATATGGTAATTAGGCTGCCCTCCAATGCACAGGGGCTATAGCCTTGTCCCACTGTTTGTCAAGGGACTATCCCATAGTTTGTCGAGAGACTAGAACCTAACTATCTCCACCGATTAATTGAGGAGAATAGCCTAGGGTATAAGACACCCCAGGGATTCGAGAATAGGGGAAGTCATAGTCTAAGAGTAAGTTCTGTGATCTTTGGCTGGGTCACACCTCACAATTGGTGAGCTTAGGTAGTCCAGTCACACGGATGGAGCCCTAATCAGTATTATAGCCCACAGTTTCAATCTGAGGAAATAAGGAGGATATAAGGTTGGTTGATCATTGCCTAAGTAAATATATGACGTCACACATGCTAAGTGGTGGCAGGTCACAAGAGTATGGATCTTGTCACATATCTAAAAATATGGCGACAATGCACCTAGTTATGTGAGTAAAGAAGCTATAAAGAGATAAATGATAAAATGTGATATATAGGGAAATGTTTTATAACTTTGATCTTATGGTGCATATATTTATTTTATAATTGATATATAACTGTATAGGGTAGGTTTAACCTTAGTTATTGAGTGGCTAAACTCACCCCTCTTATTTAATACTTTTCAGGCTCTAGCATTGGTGTTGAGAGGGAGAAGACTAAAGAGTTGGGGAATTAGTACATTCCTTCCTGTATGCCTCTGGTTTTAGATGTAGTTATGTAATAGCATATGTTTGCCAATTTTAGGATGCATATTACCCATACTTGCACTATTTTGGTTTGGAAATGTTATAATTGTATTTTGGGCCCTTAGCCTTGGTTTATGTTGTCATATATATGTTTATAAGGCCAAAATACTAGTGCAAGTATAGAAAAGAAGATTTAAACATGTTTTGAATGTTTTAGGGTTTAATGCAATGCTATCTTACCTCCCCCTTTGTTTTTGGTAAATTGGGGTTGAGGAGTGAATTTCAATCATAATGATGTTTCAATGCTTGAGATGTGTTGTACTAGTAGTCCTAGGTCCATTGGACATGGTCTAGGTGTTAGGAAAAGCTTTTGGCACTTGTTGAAAGTTTTGAACACCCATTTTATATAAAAGTGTTGAAAAGTGGTTAAATGGTGTTTAGGTGTCCAACTTCCTAGTGTGATGTGTTTTGGAAGTGAAGCCTGTGCCATTAGTTAGTACAGGAAAAGGACTTTTCATAGACACCTAGATCACGTCAATCAGATGTCGGACGTCATTTTGATAGTAGAACCAGTGAAAATTCGTGCAATACGCCATGGCACATGGCGCCTGAGCCGTGGAGTGTGGCATAGAGAGCAACACACCGTAGCGCAGAGTGTGTCTGCCATGGCGCATTGCTCTATATTTCAATATATAATTTGTTTTCAAACATTTTCAACTTCTTTCACTCCTCTAAGGTATCCCATGCTTCTGAAAACGTATCTTTACTCTGATGTGAAATATTTTTATCAATATGAATTTGTTTCTATTTAGAAAATTTAGGATTCCTTATTTTTAAATTAAAAACTTGATAATCACTCTTCAGAATTAATCCCTCATTACCATGAACTTGATTTATTAAATGTGTTTAGTGAAGTGAGATATTACATGTATAATAGTGCAGAAGTTGAGAAAAGCTTAACATATCATGTAGATGAAAGGATTAAAGACAGTATGCTTCCTCATCTTGATGATTCTCTATAATGGAGAAAGATTGATTATCAGTACCCTGAATTTAAGAGTGAAAGTAGGAACTTATGCCTTACTTTATCTACTGATAGGATGAATCTATATGGGCTTCAAAGCAGTAGCCATAGCACATGGCCAATAATTTTAGTGATTTATAATCTTCCTCCGTGGCTTTGTATGAAGCATAAGTATATGATGTTATCCATACTGATTGTGGGACCCAAGCAACCTTAGAATGACATAGACATATATTTGGCTTCTCTAATTGATGACTTAAAGATCATGTAAGAATCAGGTGTAAAGGTATATGATGGGTATAGGGAAGAAAAATTTAAGAGCTATGCTCTTAGGTATAATCAATGACTTTCCTGCCTATGGTAATCTATCAGGGTATAGCATTAAAGGGCAACTTGAATGCCCTATTTGTGAAGAGGGAACACATTCTACAAGGTTACAACATGGGATGAAAAATGTTTACCTCGGGCATCATTGGTTTTTACACGAGAACATCATTATCAATGGTTAAGAAAAGCCTTCAATAGAAATCTAAAAGAAGGTAAGCCACCTTTGCCACTAACAAGTAATGAGCCATTTGAGAATATCAATGATTTGGATATTGAATTCAGCAAACCTTTTGTGAGGCACCTTAAGACAAGTGGATAGAAGAAGAGATCTATTTTCTTTGAACTCCTTTATTAGACCACCTTAGATATTTGGCATTTTCTTAATGTTATACATATTGAGAAAAATGTTTGTGAGAGTCTTATTGGAACTTTACTTTAAGTGCTAGGAAAAACGAAAGATGGCATAAAGGCAAAGTTAGACATGGTTTCTTTAGGAATAAGAGAAGAATTGGCACGTCAAGATAAAGGAAACCATACCTTTCTCCCTTTGGAAGCTCATACGCTATTGACATGGCAAGCTCTAGTTTGATGAGCTTTTACCAGAGGCAATTCGTCAATATTGCTCGGTTAATTACCTGAATTGTGTGTGTGTGTGCGCGCGCACGTATGCATATTAACTTGCTTATTTTTTTCACCTAAGTCACCTTTATACTTCATTCGTGGTTTATGGCGGCCTTGAGTTGAGGTTCAAGTTGATTAATCCTCATGACGTCTCTCTCTACAATGATATTACCAAGTAAGCTCTTGATGATACTTTATTTCTCGCTCTATATTACTAAAGGTGAGCTACTAACACTTGTTACAAGTAAATGTTTTTTATATTTATTTGTTTTCTAACACTTATACCATTTTGTAAGGTGACTACCATGACTTCCTTTTATGGAATGACTTGAGTATTGCTTCAAAGTTTATTTTGATTCTTTCTAGTAAGTAACCTAGCCAAATTACTTATTTGAGTCTCCATATTCCTCAAAGTGTTACCTATTTGTGATTCTATATTCTTCATAGAAGCTCGAAGTAACTGCTTGTTTAAGTTAGTCATTCTCTTGGCTAATGCTTTTCATGCTATTCACTTGGTAGGTCACCATTTAAGCCACACTACAACCAAGCCAATATTTAACCATGATTTCATTTGTTCAATAGCCACATTTTTAAAACGTAGCAAAGCTTCATACCAATAGTTGGAAAAAAATGTGGCTATTTTAACCATGGCAAGAAACAAGCCTCAGTTTTAAAAAAACGTGGCTCAAAGCCACACTTTTTGAAAAAAAAAAAAAAATATGGCCATCGCTAACCTGACATATTGTCAGACTTTAGCCACATTTTTCCAAAAAACGTGGCTAATTACTTTTATTTAAAAACATTAGTAACATTTTTGGTAGCAAATTATATATTTTAAGAATTTTTCAAAAATTTAAATATTACATATTATTATATTAAATCCACGTTTAACGTGGCTACTGACTTATTTCATTAAATAAAATTTGATAATTTTTTTTTGAAAATTTAAATCTTTTTCACAAGCTTTTGAACTATTTAAATACTACAAATTACTATATTATATTATTATTATTTTGTAATATTTTGAAAAAATTATTTCACAAAATTTAATTTTCAAATTGTTTTCGAGAATTAAATTTTAATTATTTTTTGATTAGATTATTAACACAAGTTATTTAAATTATTTTTGTTGCTGGTTGATGTATATATTTTTGTTTCTACTTATAAAATATTTTTAATCAATATTTTAGAATCTTATTAATATATAATATTTCCCAAAGAAAAAATATAATTAGAAAATTTAAAACAAATGGAAAAATTAAAAAGACAGATAGAGTAAAAAATAGATAAAATAAAAAATTTACTTACAAAATAAGAAATGAAATAAATAAAAAAATTAATAAAATCATAAACAACTTACATGAAAAAAAAAAAGAGTCAGAGGATATTAGAGAACATGAGAAAATGAGATATGGTGAGAAACAAATGAAAAGCAAGCAACAAATGAAAGCAGATAAGAGCATATATAAAAGCAGATAAAGCCAACGTGGCTTTATAAGCCACGTTTTTGGTACTAAAACATGGCTTAATAAGCCACGTTTTCTAAAAAAAAGTGGCTTCAAGCCACACTTTTGTAAAAAACGTGGCTCAACATGAGCCATTATCAATTTTTAAAAATAATTTAATTTAATTATTTTATTTTTTATTTTATATTAATAAAATCAAATATTTTTATTAATAATTAAAAATAATTAAATCGTCCTAACAAAAAAAACTACTATATTATTAACTGTTGTTATGTAGTTTAATTGTAAATTTAAGTTAATAAAATTTATAATATTAATTATAACTCATTAATTAATTTCTAACAAATTGATTAGTCTTAATAATTAAAAAAATTATTTTATTTTATACTGTACAGAAATAATGATTGTGAATAAATTACTCTACCATAATCAACATTATATAATTAAATATATTTTGTTATGCTAATTTTTTATAGTACTAATTTTAACCAAAAGATATTTATATAATAATAAATATATTATTTTTGTAATAAAAAAATTTTATTTTTTAAATAAAATTTAAGTATAAGATTATGAAAATTATGTTGTTAATATTAATACAAATAATTTATATATTATTCCTGAAAAATGAAAGGAGAATATTATAACTGAAAAAAAAATTAATAAAACATTCTTCATCAAAGTTTTAACAAATTTAAACATAAAGAAAACAAAAGAAACAAATATTCATTAATTCATTACAAATAATGATTTCAAGAAGAAAATTCATTTATGAAAAGAGCCTGGAGAATTGTTCAAATTCATATTTGATCTACTGTTTGGACTAGCATTGGAAGATGAATCTTGCAAATAATAGCAAATAGGTAACATTAGAAAATATAAGATGAAAAAAGCATAAATAAAACAAGTTAAGCATAATTACTGAATTAAAGTGTCGCATTAGCCATTTCATTTCTTCCATCGACAGCATGAATCTTTCTTCCATTTCCTTTTGCATGGTCAAAAATCATTCCTCCCTTTCCCTTTCCCTTTCTCTTCTCTTTCTCTTTCCATAGCCATCCTTTCTCTTTCTAGATCCAACTCTTCTTGCAATCTTTTATTTTACTCCTCAACTTATGACATCCTTACTCTCATTTGGTCAAATTCATTTTCTGCAAAAGGGCCTAATGTACCTTGACTTGAACGAGAACATCTAAATACTTGTGTCGATGTTGGAGCTAATCTCAATCCCCTCACACGTCCATAGTGATTTGGGCCTAAACCTTGTAGTGAAATATCATTACCAACACTAAAATCTAATGAATACTGACTTTCATATATTCTTTGAGCTTTTCCTAATTAAAAAAAGAAAAATTAGAAAAATTTTGAATTGTTAATTGTTAATCAAATAATTATTATCTCACAATGGCTGCAGCCGTTTCTTCATTGGAAGGATTGCCCTCTTTGTTTAAATGAGTTGCTTTGTAAAGCTCTACAAAGTTCACTTGTTGTCCATCTTCTTCTTCCTATAAAAATAATATTTCTATTATTGAATATATATATATATATATATATATTTGATATGACAAATTAAAAAAATATCATATAACCCCTTCTTCTCAGGAAACTGAGAATTCCAGTCGTATGGTAAATCTTCAAATGAACCCCACTTAGAGTATTTTTTTGTGAAATCATCTATAAAAAATAATTATTATTAATAAATATATTTTATTTTGAGAAAAAATTATTTTAAAAAAAATCTTACTTGGGTGTTGGGATTTGAACGATGATCAATGAATGTTGCCCAATCTTCTCTAGAGACACCACTTGACACAGCATTCTTCAATTCTTCTACTGATTTAGTACCATCTTGATTGTTTTTACACAAATCATATTTTGAGTATTTCCACTTTTCTCCCATTGCTTTTAAAATAAACTTTTTGTACTCGAAATCATCAACCAAAAAATAACCCTGCATAAGATATATAAAATATATTAATTAATGACAATTATGAAAAGAAACATATTCTTCTTCTAATTACCTTGACAATATTTTCGTAAACATGATCTTTCATTATGTCAAGAACCTCGCACCAATCAAGATATCTTAATGGAAAATTATTGTAATTAATCGCAAGAATTCCTAAAAAACTTGTCAAGAGCCCACCAATACCTCTAATTGGTTGATTAAGTGTGTTCCACTCTATGTGAATTCTTTCACCATTTTGAAGCAAAAGCACATCTTTTGATTTCAAACATTGAGTGGAAGTGTTTCCACTTTCCTCTGAAAAAAAATTATTAGAAAAAAAATTAGAAAATGTACATAAAAAATATTGACTTTAAATACCTATAACCGTTACTCAAAATCCTCTTCTTTTGGAATCTTGTCCACGACGAGTATGCCTTCGTCTCTACATAGATTCTTGTTCCCTAAGCTCCTCTTGATGCATGATGCCTCCTCTTGTTGAATGGGTGTCCCTTTTTGGCTTTGATTTAAATAGTCATTAAGAGCATCAAGCATGACTCTATCATCTACGGGTGACATTGAGTCAAAAGTAATATATACATAGGCTAAACACTAGCAAAAATACTAAATGATTGGCTAACATCATAAGCTAGCATAGGGTGGTAGTCAAGATAGGAGGTACTATCACGCATATTAACTCATGTTCTCCACCTGTTCATCTTCTTCTTCCCTACAAAGAAAGAATTCAAAATGTATTAAATAAATAAAAATATGAAATAAATAAATTTATATATTTTAAAATATACCTAGATAAATTCATATGAGCTTTGCTACAAGGAAATAACTCTTCTAAGTTTTGGGGATGAACAGGTTCAAAATCATAGCAATTATTTTCATCATCTTCCATGTCATATATATCTCTTAGTTTTAGGTGCACAACCATATTCCAGTTTTTATTTTGCTCATCTTCAACATAATAATCCTATGTGTATTAATCAAGAAAAACCAACTGACGTGATCCCCAATTCATCAGTAATGATCCCTCGACGATTCGAAGTGTTGGCCCACTTGCATTTGAATAATGTCACTGTAAATCTTCCTTGATAATTGAGTTTAATTATATCAACTAACTTTCCATAATAAGCCACACCACTAAAGCACATATCACCATCACTGCTACTTGGATAACTTATTGTGCCAAATGTTCCAAACACACCACAATTTTGAATTGTGAGTCCTTGTTCACGTTCAAGCGTGCAAAAGTTGAACCCATTTACATTATAAGCAATAAATCTTTGTGTAGAATCAAGGGGCCTAGCGGCAAGAAATTTTAAATCAACAAAGTGCGAACCAAACAAATCATTCTATATCTAATAACACAAATATCTACTTAGTTGATCCATGAAGTTAAAGAAAAATTAAATAAAATAATCCAAATATAAACTTACTCTATAAGAAAACCAATCAACAAATTCTCTATGAACTCTCTTATCAACTTCAAGAGATGATCAAGTTCTATTTCGTAATTGTCCTTTTACAACTCTTCGAAATTCCCTATATTAAGAATAACTTAATATTGTTTTCCAAAATAATAAACTCACTAAAAATAACATTATCATCAAATACTTACTCAACAAACAGATCCACTTCTCAATAATTTGTAAGCACGTGCCGATGTGCTTATAATCTCCCTTTGGGAGTGAGAGTAAAATATTCAAACCCACCCACATATTTTCTAACTAGAGAGAATATAGTAAGTGCAGAAAGTTGATAATAGGTTCATCACCAACTCGATGAGGGCGATTGAAAACTGTCTCAACTCCCTCTAAATATCTAGAATAAAATAATAATATTTCTTCACCCACATAACCTTCTGCAATTAAATTTTTTGGCCAAGCTTTATTTCAAACATATGATTTAAATTTTCCCAGTAACCTCCAAACAATTTATAACTTTAATATAAATGTACAATTGTATTGTGAAGAGAAACATATTTTCTAGATATCCAAAAAATATATTTTTCACTCACCTCTCTATAAGATACATCCATCAATATTGCATAGGACCTCTGAGCTTGACTTCTTCAACAAGATGCACAATTAAATGGATGATGATAGTGAAGAAAGAAGGCAAATTAAAAATTTCTAGATGACATAAAGTGATACCAAGTCGACTTTGAAGCTCGTCAAGATTACTCACATTCACAACCTTTTCACACAATTTTTTAAAAATAAAATACAAATAGTCAGCACAGTTGATACTTCTTTTGTAAGAGTATTTTTCATTGCTAATGGAAGCAATTGCTGCATCAAAACATGAGAGTCATGACTTTTTAGCCCCCCAATCTCCTATTGTCTCAAATTAATGCATCTAGAAATGTTACTCTTATCTATCAGGAATGGTGATATTTTTTAATGCTTTAAAAAAGACATCTTTATTAGACTTGCTCAATGTAAACTTGGCCGGATGAAATTTTTCATTATCATCTAGCCACAAATCTAGTCTAATGCCCATTTCTTTTAAATCTTTTTGTGCTTGTAAATAATCTTTTGATTTTCCAGGCTCATTCAATAATGTGAAAAGAATATTGTCACAAACATTCTTCTCAATATGCATCACATCAAGACAATGGCAAAGCATGTTATTTGACCAATAAGGTAAAACAAAAAATATACTTCTCTTATGCCACTGTTGAGAGTCCTTACCACTTGAATTTTGAGCCCTTTTTTTTAGATCTTTCATCATTACCCTTGCCAAATATCACATTAACACTTTCAACTTGGTTCAAAATTTCTCACCCTGACTAAACCTTAGGTGGCATTCTCAACTCTGATTTTCCATCAAATCGAAAAGCATCAAAATGATAGTCGAAATGATAAGCAATCAAAATTACAAGTCAAACATGCTAATCTTGTATGAACATTCCATCTAGACAATGTTCGAAGACCAGGAAAATCACTAATTGTCCACATAAGTGCTGCACGCATCCTAAACATTTCATTGGAGTAAGAATCATATGTTTCCACTCCAACATTCCACAAATCTAAAAGTTCTTGAATTAAGGGCTGCAAATACACATCAATGTCATTTCTTGGAGCTTTTCATTTGGGAATTATCATTGAAAGTATTAATGAGCCCTATTTCATACACATCCATGGGGGAAGATTATAAGGCATAAGAACCACTGGCCAAATACTATAAGCACTACTCAAAATTCTAAAAGAAGTGAAACCATCAATTGCTAATGCCAATCATATGTTTTGAGGTTCTAAAGCAAAATTTGGATAAGTCATGTCAAAAATTTTCCATGCTTCAGAATCCCTTGGATGCCTCATTAAACCATCAATATTCTGTTTATATACATGCCACCTCATATGCTTTGCAGTTTGAAGACATAAACAGTCATTGCAATCATGGCTTTAATGGAAAGTATCTCAAAATTTTCACAAGTTTTTTCACTTTTTTTTAGATATCAATTTCCGTCTTGATGTATTGTATATTTTGCAGGTTTTTCTTTTGTCATCTTCTCCCTAATATAACATACAACATTTGGGAAAACATCAATTTTTTTGTACTCCAATCCTAACTTAGTAATAGTCTTTTTTGCTTCATAAGTAATAATTCCAAAATCATTGATAAAGCTTTGTTGCTTATACCACAAAAACATTTAATATGGTACAATCTAATTAAAAAAGATAATTTTAAATATTTCTCATGCCCATCATATAATTGCTCTTGCCCATGTTGCATTAATTCAAAAAATTCTTTTGTCTCTTCATTCATCCCTTGATTTTGATTTTGTGATAACTCTTCAATTAGAATTGAAGTTTTATTTTCTTATTGCACCCCAAATACATCACAAACTAATTCATGAATATGACCACTTGTCTCATTTTCTTGTTCTCTAATTTTCTATGTTAACTAGACCACTGGAAGTAGTTCCTCTAAATTCACGTTTTTGACCATATAAACCCTAACATGTATATCTAAAAGGGAATGGTTTAGCAATTAAATGGTTTCAAACCTCCTCTCAAACATTTCATTTTCTAAAGTTACACTTAAGATGAGGACAAATAATTTTACCCTCAACACTACTGTTTGCAAAAGCAAAATTTAAAAATCTTTCAAAACCATTCATATATTCTCTTGTGTTGCGAAGTTTAGATATCCAAGATTTATCCATTTTTTATATAAAATAACAAAATAATTATATTTAAACATAAAACTTCAACATAATTTTTATTATTTAAATAAATATAAACAACGTAAATAAAAAATTTCAACATGCATATCATAAATTTAACCACATTAAATAAATTTAATTTAAACATTAATATAGAATTTAAATCATTCTATATAGAAAATAAAAATTTAAACCTAACAAAATATTACTACATAAATTCATGTCATATTTCATCCATAAAATTTAATTTTTCCAATTCATAGACATCAAATGTAGAATAAAAATAAACTAATAAATATTATCCATTTTATATAATTAAAAAATATAATATAATATAAAATAAAAATAAATTACCTCAAGTGAGCAAAGCAGCGAAAGTGAGCAAGATAGCAAAAATGGGGAGTGAAGTGTCAAATTGATGGCTTAAAGAACTTTTTTAAAACCCTAAAAATATATAATAAAATATAATAATAAATATAAATTTAAAAATATATATAAAATGAACAAGAAAAAACAAAAAAAATATGAAGAGGCAGACCTGTAATGCATTATGCACGAATGTAAAATTTTCAGAGGGGGTGGGATGATTTATAAGGCTTTTAAGCCACGGTTTTTCTGAAAACCGTGGCTCTAAGCCACATTTGTGTTAGAAATCGTGGCTGGATTTTCTAACACAAATATGGTCTAGCCACATTTTTCTGCAAACCGTGGCTCTCAGCTTTGCATAAAAATATGGCTCTAAGCCACAGCTTTGTAGAAAACATGGCTTTTATTGATGTCAGTACCCATTACTCGCTATTTGCTCCTTCAAAATATTAAATTAACCACTGTTTAAGAAAAATAGTGGCAATAATCCATCGCTATTACCACCTTTTTTGTAGTGCCAAAGATTGTTCCAACTTTGTTATACGATCCTCAATTGTGTATCTTTGTTGTTGCAAGCATGGTGGTACTTCTGGCCCTTGAATGGAAGAATTTTTTCAAGATAAATTTGGATGATTTTTCCATCCGGGTTTGTATGTGTTAGAATATGAATCATTTCTAAGATTAATTCAATCAATATCAGCTTTCATATAATTAGCCTCCTCCACACAGTTACTATCATAACCTATATGAAGAGAATTATTAGAAGAAACTGAATTAACAAAACTAAAATTTTTCAATAATAAATTTAAACTCTTTGTTAAATCCCATAATTCATGTGAGACGTGTGATGTAGACACTTTATTGGCCATCGCCCTCCTTTCCTAGACTGCCTTCTTTCTTAAATTTACTACTAGCATTTTATAAATCTCCTCCCTTTCTTCGACAATCATATTACTTGGATCACCTCTATAACAACCTAAGAATTTTACGTAGAAATTAAAATAAATGCACTAAAAAATTAAAATATAATAGAGATGATAATTAGAGATGGCTTAATTATCGTCTCTAATAGAGACAGAAATAGAGACTCATTATATTATTAGAGACAGTTTTAATTTTAAAAAATATTTAAAATATAGAGACATATTTAAAGATGACTTATATATGTCTCTAAAAAAAGCATCACAAAATCCATCTTATCTTCTATCATTATTCATTAAAAGTTTAATTTTTTAAAAATTAAAATGTTAGAGACAAGTTTAGAGATGAACAAAATTTCTTCTCTAAATCAGTCATCTCCAAATTCATCTCTAATATTAATTTTACATTTTTTTTAATTTAGAGACTGAATTTGAGACTTTTTTTTATATATATTTAGAGACAAAACTTCAACCATATCTAATTCCCTCTATATATTTCTTTAAAATTTCATGATTTTATTTTTACTAATTTAGAGATGAAATTAGAGACAATTGAAATAAATATAATAGAGATGGGACCATTTTTATCTCTTAATGTGTCTCTAATTTAAAGTAGAGACAGATCTAGAAACGAAATCATATTTTTACTTTTTAAATTTTTGGATTATCAATAATTTTAATACATGTTTGAAATATATTAAAATGCAAATTAATTTTAAAAGATGTAGAAAAAATTTCATCATTGTCTAGTGAGCTTCTCATTCAATGCAAACAACAAAAATTTGATATTTGTGTTTAAAAATATTTATCTTTAGAATTTATAGTGTTTGAAAATGTTTTGCATGTCATTTAAATTTTTATCTTCTTTCTTTTTTTGATACAAAAAGACGAGCTTAGTCTATTGTCTAAGCGAGTTATTGTAATCCGCAGAAATTAAATCAACTAAATTAGCAAGGATATCTCTTATACGATGAAGACCAGGCAAACTATCAATAGCTTGCTTAGCCATATAATTTGCCAGTGTTTCCTTCTCTGAGGATGTGTCTGATAGTTACTTCCCATTCATGTCAAAGCAGGTTTTGAATCTCCTGGATTAAGTTTCGATCATGATGCCCACAGGGCATCTCTTCCGTCGCAGCCTTAACAGCATCTAACGAGTCCGTCTCTGCAATGAGCCTTCTATGCCCCGAATCCCAAGCCACTTTCAAGCCTATCATTAAAGCCCATAATTCAGCAGTAAAACTATCTTCACCAATCTGTCCAAACATAAATCCATCCACCATAGCACCCGTGCTGTCTCTGGTTATACCTCCACAGCCTCCTCTCCCTTTGCTTGGCGAGAAAGCTCCATCAACGTTTAGTAGCAGCCAAGCCGGAGGAGGAGGAGACCACTTCGAGCTACTTCGCATCTCACGCCTACCAGTCATGCTCACTCTGTCCACTTTCATCGTAAAGTGTTTTATACTGCTCAGAGTAGAGTTAACTTGAGCTGTCACAGTCTCTATGGTCATATGGTTCTTTTCAAAGATTGCCTCATTTCTGCATTTCCACAATGCCCAGCAACTAACTACAAATTTTCTGCTCCAATCCGCATGTTCCCCTCGTGTAGATCTGCCTAAATTTCATCGCAGCCACCTTACCTGATTGAGACTGAAGAAAACCTCTTTATGAGTTGGATCCAGAATTTTATTCCAGTAAGCAGCTGCTTTATCACAGTCTTGAAGGACGTGCAAAATATTCATTAATTTATTCTATAATCATAATTGATTGAATGTTTTGTTTCTTTTATGTTATTTATATTTTCCTTTAGTATTTTTTTTATTATTATTAATAAATTTTTATCAAATAATAAAATTGTCTTAAAAGAAATCATTAACAATATTGTATAACAACACATTAAAAGAAGAAAATAAAATCAAAACTCAAAAATATCTATGAAATTGAATATTAAAAAGAATTACTAAAAAATACATTTGAAATGACTATAGATAATATTTATACGGCTAGAATTAATTATGTTAAGGAAAATATCATTTTTATACTAATTACATATATATATATATATATATATATATATCTGTGTGTATATGAATAATGTACATTTTCAGCATAAGAAGGGGAAAATAAAATAAAATTTGAAGTATATAAGAAAATAAAATATTTTATTAATATATAGTATAACAAAAAATTATATAAATAAAACAATATTTAATTTATGGTAATATAATTATTTATGAATATATATATAACATATTTATAATATTTTAAATTTTCAATTTGTTCCATATTAAATAAATTTGATAAAAAAATTTTAAATAAAAAATTAATAAAATATATTTAAATTTAATATTAATGTAAATATAAATTATTTTAAAATTTATTATTATTTATTAAAAAATTCGAAATTTTAAAAATAATAATTAAAAAAAATTTATATGGTCCTAATTATTTTTATTAAAATAATTTTAAAAATAATTGAAAAATTGTGAATAAAATTTATTTGTAAGAAAAGAATGGGAAACATTTAACCATTTTGGGAGAAGAAAAAAATTTAATTATTTATTTATTAATTTTTGACAATAATATGGAGTAGATAAAAGTAAAAAATATTTAATATAAACTAAAATAATAAATATTTTTAAATAAATTATATACTTAAGTATTTTCATTTAAAAATAATATTTTTGTATTAAAAATTTGTTTCATTTTAAATTCATTTTCCTAAAAAATAATACTTTATTAAAAATATAATATAAATAGTCACATAAATAATTTTATCATATTAATACTTGAACATAAAATTATATATATATATATATCTTTTTAATAATATAATATTTTATATATGTGTATGTAATTAAGTAATATATATTTAATTTCACATATAATAATTGTAGATGTATTTCAATTCAACTGATAAAGAATGAGGACTTAAGGCTTGGGAGGTGAGAGGTCAAGGGATCAAATCTTGACCTTGACATATATTTTGTAAAAAAAATGAGATGTGACAAGTGGTTGTAGCTGACATGGCATGAGGTGGTGACATGATGCATGACATGGCATTGGCTAACTCACACATGGGCAGGTGAGTTGGCATGTGCTGATGCACATGTGGCTGGTGAGGTGTCAAGTAATGTGGCACTAACATAGCAATACAAACAAAAGAAATTTATATTTCATTTTGTAGAGACGGATTTAAAGACTATTTTATTCCTTCTCTATTATTTTATAAAATTTTTATAGCATTTTATAGCAAGAAATTTTTCATGAAAATCAGAGACAGCATTTTTTATTTAGAGATGGCAAAACTCTATCTCTAATTGTTTAGCGACACCTCTTTTTGAGACACTGCCATATTTGTCTCTAATTAAATTCATCTCTATTTGTTTAGAAACAGATTTTTCACTAGTTAAAGATGGAATATTGTGCGTCTCTAAATAACATTTTTTTATAGTGATGATGAGGTATTTTCAATGTATTTTTATTAATTCTAAAGTAAATATATTAAGAAGGAATGGTAGAGTGGTGCAGTTTGTGTCAACAACACACTTAAGAGGTCATGTCACAACCCAAAACTGAGGGTGTGATTAACACGGAATATGAGATAGACTCACATTTTATAAGCCTTAATTAACCAAAAAAATAATTTAAGATAATGATATATAATTTATGTCTAAATTTAAAATTAGTAAAGTCTTAACCATTCTATAGAAATTTCAGTAGAGTCTACCCTCTAGTTAGGACTTCCCAAAATT